TCTCCCCATGTTCACCTGTAAATTCAGTGTGTTTCAAATAAAAGTTCCAGTAGAATTTTTGGAAGGGATGCATAGACCAAAATGTAGTATTGACGCAGGCCGTAAATAACATTTAGGTGGAACAAAGTGTGAGTCCGGTGAGGGATCCACGTGTACTGCAAACCAGATGGGACAGAGGAGGCTGTAAAAGTCGGGGGGTGGCGGGACTGGACCAGTCCGGAAGGGGCGCTGGGTAACTTAAGCCGTGGGGGAAGCTGACCCTGCTTCCTTTCCTATGCCAGAGTAGATCCCAGGTGATTAGAAACCCAGCTATGAAAAGTGTTCTGAAGTTTGTAGAAGGAAATAAACAGTGAAAGGACTTCTCTCCCAGTGGTTGGAACCTGGGTGGCTGAGAGTCAGGGGTGTAAGGGAGGTTTTCACTCAGTATCAACCCCTTTGTTCCTTTTGCGTTTTGACCCCTAGGAATGCGTTGCCTTTCTCCAACACAACTGAGTAATTATTTAGATTTAAAGGATAGCAACAGATTTTTCCTTAAAAAAAGAAAAAGGAAACAGGTTCTCTTTGACTCTGGGGTGGTAGCAATGAAACAAGAAAACACTGTAAAACAAAACAGTGAAACAATTTTTCAAACAAAATTGGTTGAAAAAGAAACCGCAGACTTGGATACAAATGGTTAATATCCAAATGTGTAAAGGGCACCTACAAATGAGGGAAAAAGACAACCCTTTAGAAAATGGGCCAAGGGTATGAGCAGACAATGTCGTGGAAGCAGCATGAAGGGCAGCTCACCATGGGAGGCACGTGGGGCCGCATCCGGGTGTGAGTGCAGGAGGAGATGGTGCGGGCCGCAGAGGGCGGAGCTCGCGGCACTGCCCTGGGGGAGCAGCCCTGGGCCCTGCGGTGTGTCCTAGAGGATGAAATGCTGCCAGGTGATGCCCGCAGTGGTGTCTCACGCAGCCCTCACCGTAGCGGTGCTGGACATGTGTAAGCACACACGCACGCGTGTGGAAGTGGTGGCATTCTGAGTATTGGTTCTCTCTGGAGAGAAGGATGAGGTACTACATATATGTATCTAAAGTAAATGGGGACAGATGTTTGGATTTGCGAGACCTGGGTGGCAGGTAAATGGACGTTCAGGATATTTTTCTTAATCTTCCGTATATTTGAAATATTTCATAATATTTACAAAAACAAGGAGACAGTGATCCTGATGCAGCTGCATCTGCTAGTGTCTCCATTTTATTGTCGTTGTGTTTTGGGTTGTGCCTTCCTGGTAAGTCACCTACCGCCCAGGAAATGGGGCTTGGGCTCAGTCGGGAGGCTTCGTCTCGCTCCCCTGCCGTGGCTTCTCCAAGTGCCCACACATGGCCCCTGAGGAGCAGCTGGAGAGTGATGAGACCCCGCCCCAGCGGTGCTGTTGAGGGCCCTTTTCGCAAAACGTCCCCAAATCCCCATTGCCAAGTTGGACTGAACTGGCCAGACTGGACAAGCCAGGTCGGGCCACACGAATCAGCAAATGTAGTCCGTGCCTGGGGCGTCCACTTAACTTCTGTTCCCGAGTCCTTACTCCCAGGAGCAGAGGAAAGCCATTCTCTGAGGAGCCCCGAGGTGGCCCAGGGCATGTCAGCTGGCCAAGCCTGGGAGCGGTCCCCGAGCCTCGGGGGAGTCTTCTGCCCCCTGCCCTGGCAGGCCTTCACCTTTCTGCTTTGCACTCTAAGCGGACTGGCCATAGTAAATAAGAGTGCGCATTTCATAGAGGTTTCCGGGATTGACGGAGTGCAGGTTCTTTGTGGTCAGCCCACACAGGATGCAGTGGCACGGTTGGCCGGATTCTTTGCCCTCCTGGGCACGGCCCTTGGGGAAACCCTGCGGGAGATTCCCTCTGGGGGCCTTTTACCATGGTGGGGATTTCAGAAGCGAAGCGCCAGAAGGCCGACCTTGAAGGCTGACCTTGAGAGCGTCCTTGAGGCATCGCTGGCTTTGCTGTGCCTGTGAGCACGGGTGGTACTCCCGCCCCTCGAGCAGGAGCTGACTCTGCGGGGCAGCGGGAAGGCGGCTCCCACCTCGACTTCTTGGCTGTCCGTGGTGATGGTGATGTGTCCTGAGCCTTCACTGTTTCACTGAGTGACCACAAATCTAGGGCTTTTCATCTTCCTGTGAAAGCGTCCTTTCAAAGAAACTCATACTCAGGAGTTAGTGGTGGGGATACAATTTCTTTCTGGAGCAGCGGTCCTGCAAAGCTGGGAAGACACATCTGTGATGGACTCAGATATCTGTCTGTCCACTGCGGAGGGAAGTGCTCTCCCAGCTGGCTTTTCTCCACTCTGCCCCTGACAGAGAATATATTTTTGTATCCCGTGTTTGCCTAACTTGAGAGTCAAAGCTGACTTTTCAACCGTGGCTTTTCTAACCAAACCACACATCTGCAGAGCCCACGGTGGGGGGCAGGCGCCCATCGTGGGGGTGGTGGCCCTGGGACTCCAGGGGACCCGACCTCCAGGGCTTGTTGGGGACGCCACCCGGGGCTTACGGACCCTCAGCCGGGGTGACCCGGGCCCCTGGCGTGGTGCTGCCTCTGGAGAAGGGGTGTTTCAAAGGAGTTTTGTATCCATTCTTTTTCAGATTCTTTTTCCATGTAGGTCATTACAGAGCATTGAGTAGAGTTCCCTGTGCTGTACAGAAGGTCAAAGGGTTTTTGTCATCTGAATAGGATGGATATAGTGATTATGGTGTTGCTTTGTACCTGAAACGTGTCCATGTTGGCGAAGTTCTGAGGGGTGCTTGTGAGGACCCGGAGTTTCAGTTGGTGGACGCCCTCCAAGCAGCGGGGTTAGAACGGGGCCTGGAACGTTCCAGCTTCTTGTCCCTGTCCTCCCACCCACGGGACCCCCCTCCAGGCCTTTTGCACACTTGGCTGCGAGGATCCCGAAGGGCTCGTGTGGGGTGACCTCTCCTGACTGTCATGTGTGAGGGGCCCTGGCTGTGTATCTCGCTGCCAGAACCCATGGCCCGGGGTCAGAACCCGCTGCCCCAGGAGTCCACCTCGGGCCTGAGGAGTGGAATGTGGAGCTTGACCTGGAGCTGCAGGCCCGGCGACAGTCTGGGTGAAGTAAGTGTCACAGCCGCAGCTGAGGGACTTACCACCGTGGAGAGCAGAGCGCGTTCCACCCTCTTCCCGCAAGGGTTCTGTAGAAAGACGGAGAAACTGTGCTCTGGGGACCCGGGGGCCGTTCAGCTCTCCCCCTTGCTGCCGTCCTCCCCCACCTCACCATTGCGTTCCCTTCTCAGGTCCACTGCTTGTCCTCCTGGGGGAGCTGTTTCTCACTCCCCAGTTCAGGGGACTGGAATATGATTGTAGTAGCATCAATATTAGTTGATAAAAGTTGAATGTATCCAAGAAATGAGCCTGTTGGAGTTTCTCACTGAAGTCAGATTTAGCCCGGCTGACAGCTGATGGGTGTGGACCTGGCCACCTCTGACCCTATGGACTTTGGTCCCCAGCCAGCAAGAAGGGGTGGTTCATCCTCTTGATAGGGAGTTTGTCATCAGGCAAAGGGTCCCCTCCCCAGGGCGAGGAGTGGACCTGGTGACACTGTCCTCCTCCCTCTTTGCAGCCTCTGGATGTGAAATTCCAAACCTGGAGTCTTACTTGGTAGGCTTCCCAAGACTGGTATTTCCTGTTTCCTAATGTGCAAGTTTGCAGGTTGCATAGCTCTTCGGAGCTATCACTGGCTAAAGGCCATTTTTCCTCACCAACTTTTGATCACCTTTCCGGATTGTAATGCGTGGGTTCTCATCTTCGGCCCTGGGTAGCTGTGTTTATCAGCACTGGAGGAAATGGAGGCAGCAGAGTCAGATGGCTCGCAAGGGCCTGCTGGCCTGGACGCTGTGGCTGAGAGCCGGCAGCCGTGTTTGGTTTGACTCACATGGTATTTTTAAAATCAGTCAACTTCACGTTAAGCAAAAAAAAATTTTCTGTCCTAATGTGAGAAAGTGAAAGATCTCTCAACACGGTGCCCGCATGTCTACAGTAATCAGCTGTGGCTGGGCGTCACCTGGCCCTAATGTAGTGGGGCAGTTTGCCACAGTCCTCACTACTCCCAATTGTCTCACACCTGGCCGGTGCTTGTGCTCATGTGCATCTTTGACCCCTGCCGTGGGGAACATCGTGAACTGGGAGCATGGCATCTGAGTCTCCTGGGTGTTATGTGCCCTGATTATAGAGCTCCTCGCTGCTGTCTCTCCATGGCTTCGTATGTCCCGGCACTAATGGAATATCTTACGTAAGAGTTGCTCACTTCTGAAGGGGGCGGGGAGAATGGGTGACATCGGAGATGGCCTGAGTTTGTTTCTTCCTTCACTTTATCAGTCTGAAGAATTAGTGAAACCGTAAGTCAGGTGTTAGGGGTGGGGTTGGTGCTTGTTGAATACCTCAGTTTCTACAAAAAATAATTGACATGTATGTATTTGGCAGGTGAAAGGAAAGCAAGCCAGGATGGATATTTACGACACCCAGACCTTGGGGGTTGTGGTCTTTGGTGGATTCATGGTTGTTTCCGCCATCGGCATCTTCCTGGTGTCGACGTTCTCCATGAAGGA